GGTTTGCTTTGAAATCCTGAATACGTTGGTTTTTAAGACAGTTAAATGTCAAAGTGTGTGTCCATTTGTCATAACTCTTCATTTCCACCTGTGTGATGTAGAGGTTTGTTGATTATGGGATTCAAACCAGATTTTGTTGCCTGTACATTAATAGCTTCAACAGTGTATGCATACTGTATGTCACGCACAAATTGTGACTGGAATGTTGTGTGTGTTTCAGGGTTTCTTTGAAGATGAGGATGGAAAGGAATATATCTATAAAGAACCAAAATTCACTCCTCTATCAGAAATTTCCCAGCGTCTCCTCAAACTTTACTCGGACAAATTTGGCCAAGAAAATGTCAAAATGATCCAGGACTCTGGCAGGGTGAGAAAATGCACACTCATATTTTATCAGTATTCTGTGAATAGGTAAAAGCTCAGACAATCGTGTATAATCTGAACACATGTACACAGATTGCACTAGTACACAAGTACACTGTAAAAATGAGATGTTTATAGAACTTAAAGTAACAGTTCGCCCAAAAATAAAATATTTGTAATCATTTACTCACCCTCATGTTGTTGCAAAACTGTATGACTTTCTTTCTTCTGTCTAACATAAAAGAAGATATTTTAAGAAATCTCATATAATTGCAGTCAATGGGCTCACGTGTTGTTTGGATCCCAACATTCTTTGGAATTTCAATGTTTGTAACCACATGAGGGAATTATTATTATTTTTTTTTTGGGTGTAGTATCAGTTTAAAAATGAAGCCCACACTTTGCATGGCTTAAAATGTCAAGTTTTCATCACCTAAAATTGTTTTAAAAATGAAGCTAATTGTTCAGTATTATGCGCTGCAATGCATGTGTTTTCAAACTGAACAAAGCAGAAAAGTTCTTAAAACCTGTAAATAAGAGAGTCTGTGGCCTTTAAATATTTGAAAACCTCTCATCTAATGTACAAATGCTTATGTCATAGAGAGCAAAGTGCTTGTTGATAATACCACCATGTGATGTGATGTGATGTGATGTGATGTGATGTGATGTGATGTGATGTGATGTGATGTGATGAATGCTGATCACATGAACACTCGTCAGACAAAAAACATGCATGAAATGCACACAGACCACAACATATGGTACATGAATAAAAACAAGGTAACAACTTCATTAATTTTGTATGTAATAAAGGCACAAACTCATCATGACATTACAAGACAAATAGTGTACTATTTTAATTTCAGTGTAAATGAAACTGGCAAACAGTCAAACTATGTAAGCATATTAAGTATTTAAGCACATTTGCATGCAGGGAAATTTTGGTGTGGGTCTATTTGCACAAAAAATGAATCTAGCTCACCTGCTATGCTTGTTGGAGCATATGTTATATAGTATATAGTATAATAGAAAAGCTGTATCATGATTATTTACTTGATCCAAGAATCAGTTTTACAGTGTATACACAAACACATACACACACACACACACACACACACACACACACACACAAGAAGAGCATTACACCATAGATGAGATCAGTTTTGACAGACCTCCTGATATGTGGAGTTTGCAGTCAAACCTTAACCCCAATGCACTTCCAGACAAGAATTCTATTTATTCATGTTTTATCAGTGTTTTACTGGTCTCCTCCCACCCTAATGTATCACATCTCATCTGTCTCAGGTCAACCCTAAAGATCTGGAGGCAAAGTTTGCCTATATCCAAGTGACGCACGTGACGCCGTATCTAGAGGAAAAGGAGCTGGAAGAGAGGAAGACTGACTTTGAGAGGAGCCACAACATTCGGCGCTTTGTGTTCGAGACGCCATTCACTGAGTCAGGAAAGAGGCACGGCGGGGTCGAGGAACAGTGTAAACGAAGGACGGTGCTCACCAGTGAGTGATCACTATCACTGACCCCAGAACAGTTACTGCAGTGAATACAAACAACACACATAACAGAAGAAGTGAACATTTAGCTTTTTTTATACTACAAAACTTCAGTTAACAATAAAACCCTTGTGTCTCTGCTTTTCTGCCATCTGGCCGAAAGGTTCTGATCATGGTGAGGAATGGTTCCAGTTACATATCCACTTTAGCATGGTTAGCTAACTGTGCTCATCCATGCTACTGGATCACCTGTAGTTATGTGATGATGGATTTCTAGTACTGTAATACAGTATTTTTCTACATGCTGTTTTCATTAGCCTTTTTAGCTAGCCTGGGGAATTTTAATTTGATGGGATCATTCTCCTTATTATGCACACTCCAAATTTAAATGCACATAAATGCATATACTACAAATCAATCACCAGTTCTAAAATACATTCTAATCCTGATTTCATAGCACTAAATTTGAAAAAGGAACTGCAACCAGATCGGCATGGGTCATCATGGTTTCGCAAAGAGTTTAATGTTTTGTTAGACAGACAAGCCTATTAATATATTTTCAAAAGTAATTTTAAAACACACTATTTGAAATTTAAAATTTTACTTTTTTTTTTCCAAACTTGATTTGAAAGCACTTTGAGCCTCGATTCTGTATGTATTCATTACATGTGCACAAAAGCTGCACATATTTGATCAAAAATACAGTAAAATTGTAAAATATGATTAAAAATGAAGGCCCAGCTTTACATCAAAAAATAAGTACAATGTACTTTTTGTGTTATTGTATTGCAAAACACTGCTGCTGTTGAGGAGGGATACGGGTAAGGTTAGGGACAGGTTTGGTGGTATAGGTAGGTTTAAGGGTGGGTTAAAGTGTAAGGGATGGGTCAACAGTGTAATTCTAAATGTAAGTACAGAAATTAATTACAGATGTAATTAAATGCTGGTATTTTTAAAATATAAGTACAATGTAAAAACGTACGTATACAATAAGTGCATTGTACCAAATCATTAATTTAAATGTAAGTACATAGTACTTAAGGCCAATTAATATAAAGTGGGACCTACATGTATATTCTTTAAAATGTATTTTGCTTCTTAATTTAGTGTGAGAATCTCAGTAGTGATGAATAGCTTTTTTCTTTACTGTTATTTTTGATCAATGTAATGCATCGATTCCTTGAAAGAAAGAATGAAAGAAAGAAAGCTCTGACCCCAAACTTTTGAACGGTAGTGTGCATGTAGTTCCTTAATCTGTAACTTCCTTAAATCATTGGTTTATTGCATTCACCATATAAGTGCATCCGTACACATGGAAACCAGATTTAATGAACATATGTCTTTGGCCTCCATATGGTGTAATCCATTTATTTACCCAGCTATTCCCTGAACACTAATCTTTAATGATTACATTTTAGTCTGTACTTCCTGCATTAACACTGTACACCCTGATCTTGAGCTCTGGGCTGCAATTGTGTTCAAAAACAATTAATCCATGTCTTTGTCTCAAGTTAAGTGTTGTTTAGTGTTGTAAAAGCAACCAGGAGATTTCAAAGCTGAACCCTGATCTTCATCCTGTGAAAAATTTTCAGATCAGATCTGGCCTCTGAGGCAGAATGACCTTCTTAGAGAGTGTGTTCTAAATAAACCACTTTTCACAGTTTCAAGGTGTGCCATCCGCATGGAACATAAATCCTGATTACTGCACAAACATGAGTAGATTTCAGATGGGTCCTTAATTTGTTTGTTCTTCTAGCCACCCGTACTACTGCATTCACTTAATGTTTATTTACTCTGTCTTCTCCTATCTCTCTGTTTCAGCCACACACTGTTTCCCGTATGTAAAGAAGCGCATAGCGGTGATGTATCAGCACCACACAGACCTGAGTCCCATCGAGGTGGCCATAGATGAGATGAGCGGGAAGGTGGCAGAACTCAGAGCCCTTTGTGCAACCAGTGAGGTCGACATGATCCGCCTGCAACTTAAGCTGCAGGGAAGCATTAGTGTACAGGTGTGTGTGTGTGTACTTAAGCTGCAGGGAAGCATTAGTGTACAGGTGTGTGTGTGTGTGTGTGTGTGACACATATGAACACACATCATTGGCCTGTTCCAAAAGCAACCTAGCCAACACTTTTAGGCATCGTGATGCAGAGCCTGTGACAAAGATACTTTGTTTTGTTTAGGCAAAACACTGTACCATTTGATTCCAGAATGCACTGCAATGAATTTAACAAATATTACATTCAAGCTATGTCATAAGAAATTTGTGTGAAACGTCCATTTTATTAATTAATAAATAATTAATAATTAATTTTATTCAGTATTAAAAATTATCAGTAGAAAAGTTTATTTTGATTAAAGTGCACCATTTTAATCAATATTTTACCCATTATTTGTATGCGCTTTTTTTTCTTTTTTTTTTGCTTTTTAGAATATAAATTCAATAGATAAGCAACATGCTAATATTTTAACTGCCAATGAGAAGATCAAAAATAAAATAAAATAAAAAATTTAGCGTCATGAAAACTTGAGGAAATTATGTCACGGTGTCATTTTATTTAATTTTTACCAGAAAAACACCTATATTACCTATTTTTTATTAATAAAAATGAAATAATACTTTTATTCAGCATGGATGCATTATTTTATCAAAATGTGACACTAAGACATTTATAATATTCATTTATGATATTTATAATACAAAAATCTGTTTCAAATAAATGCTATTTGATTAACTATTAGATTAACCTTCTAGTAATCAAAGAATCCTGAGATAAAATGTATCGATCGTTTCCAAAATAATTGTAATAAAATAAATGTAATAAGAAATTATTCTTGAGCAGCGAATCAGCAGATTAGAATGATTACTGAAGGATCATGTGACACTGAAGACTGGAGTAATGATTGCTGAAAATTCAGCTTTGACAAGAAGTCTCACCCAGGCTACATTTACTGAATCATAAATACAGTAAAAACAGTGATGTTGTTAAATATGAATACAAATGGAAGTAACTCTTTTCCTTTTGAATGTATTTTCAAATGTAATTGATGACAAAGCTGCATTTTCAGCAGCAATTACTGCACTCACATGATCCTTCAGAAATAGTTCTAATATGCTGATTTAGTGCTGAATTGTTAATAATGGTTTGTATTATTACTGTATTATTTTATGTTGAAACAGTTTTTGATGCCTAATATTTAATCTTTTGTGAAAACTGTTTTTCAGGATTCTTTGAATAGAAAGTTCACTCACAGCATTATTTAAAAAGTTTTTTTGTAACATTATAAATGTCTTTATTGTCCATTTTGATCAATGTAATGTGTTGTCTTTGCTGCATAAACGTATTATTATTTTGTTATGGTAAAAAAATGGTAATGTGTCATAGTTTCCATAAAATATTAAGCAACAAATATAATATATATATATATATATTTGCTGAAAATTCAGCTTTGACATCACAGGAATAAATTATAGTTTAAAATATATTTATATATATTTAAAATATATTTTTAAATGTAATAACATTACACAATATGACTATTTTTACTGTATTTTTTTATCAGAATTATGTTCAACCTTGGTGAACATAATGGAACATATTCATTCAAAACTGTTAAAACATCTTATAGACCCCAAACTTTCAAATGGTAGTGTATAATTGTAAAAAAAACAATATTTATAGCTAGTTGTGCAGCCCACCAAAAATATTATGGCATTCAACAGTAGGAACATCTTCTATAGACTAATAATGCAACAACTTGTTGACATCTAACAATAAAATCAGTCAGTACACAATAGACAACAAGGCACCACACTAGATATAGCAAAAACAAAAAGCAATTGTGTTGATTCACACCCACACTTTCTCCCCAAGTTTGGCATGTTTAGAATTCACTTAAGACATTATTCAGTTCCTTTCTTCCTCGTAGGTCAATTTTGCATGGATTTGACATTTTTAGTTATTTTTATGGAGACATTTTTAGCCATTTAATTCCCACAAGAGCAGCAAGCCTTCCCCCAAATACACTTTTGCCATTATATCACACACTCAGGTTTAAACTGACCTGTAAATGACTTTTTTTCTTAAATACTTCTTTCTCTTCAGGTCAATGCTGGGCCACTTGCATATGCCAGAGCTTTCCTTGATGACGCCTGCGCCAAAAAATACGCAGATAACAAAGTCAAACAGCTTAAAGAGGTCTTCAGGTAAATGAACACCATTTGAAATGCCTTCTAAAATCTCCACACAAGCGCCTGCTTTTTTATCTGTATGTGTATATGGTGTTTGTGTATGCAGGCAGTTTGTTGAGGCATGTGGACAGGCTCTAGCTGTGAACGAAAGGTTGATCAAGGAGGACCAACAGGAATATCATGACGAGATGAAAGCCAGTTACAAAGACCTGGCCAGAGAGCTTTCACACATCATGCATGAACAGGTAACCATACACAGTGGCACATCGTGAATCTTCAAACAAACAGACTGAAACGCATCAAAAGCGAAAGAACAAGAAAAGAATGGAATTTCATTGTCTGACACTCCTGAATGAATCGCCCATCAATCAGCATCCAGGACACTGGGATACAGCAGGTGTATCCGGTCTTTGGAATGTCCACATACTATTCCCATATGACTCGTGTAGCTTTTGTTCTTCTCTCATCTACTCCAGTCCTCCGTTCACAGGTGTTTCCTGTGGAGACTATCACTTTTATTTCTTACACAACCAGAACAGCTTGAAAAATCTGCCTTTTTACTTTCACATTCCTTAAATTTAATGCTTCATCTTTCCATATATTCCCCAATTCTGTATGTTTTTTGCTGCTCTGTGCTAAAAGAGAAGCTGCGACATCACTTCCTGTGTCTAAGGCAGCAGCCGTCCATTGAGTAGTAGTGAAGGGAATATAACTGTGCTTCAGTGTAGCAGGAAGTTTGAGCTTTACTGTACAAAATACCCATGATCACCTGAGCCACTCAAGCTTTTTAGCCCACACTTCCATCATTTTTTTCCTTTTATTCATTAAAAGCCAAGAAACAATTGCTGTTTCTTTGTAGCGGAGTGCAATAATTCTCTTTCTTTGTCCTGTTTTGGTTCCTGAAGATCTCTTGCCAAAGTGAAAAGGCTAGATGTGAAATATCTAAATATATATGGACAAAAGAGATAAACACAAGGATTTTTATAACCTTTTATGTTTGTTTAATTGTAAATTGTTTTATATCGAGGGTTAGATATGGGGGGTATTTTTATTTAAAAAAGAATCTGTTCTGGAAATATATTAATGTCCCTAAAATCTCTGAATAAAATGTATTATCTTACATCAGTTTTCATGTGGTTTTCATTCTTATCAGTTGCTTCCCTTAAACACACTTTATCTCTACTAATGGGAACTTTATTATTTACCAACCGAGATCCTTATAAAGGTCATTGAAACCTCATCTATACAATATTTATGATCTTTTAAATTGTAATATTTCATAATATTGCTGTTTGTAATATTTCATAATATTGCTGTTTTTACTGTATTTGTAATCAAATAAATGCAGGCTTGGTGAGCATAAGAGACTTTTTTAAAAATCATAATAATTCCAATTTTTTGGCCGCCAGTACACTAGTAGGTTACCATGAATGTTTGGTTCATATTTAATATTCATGATATTTGTTCTCTCTCTTTTGTGCTGGCCTCTGTAGATCGGATGGTAATAATGCATACAATTAATCATACATGAAAAACAATACAGCACAGTTCAATTGTGAGTTTGATCTGTTCTTTCTCACCCTGCACTCTTCCTCTTCCTCAGATCTCCGCTGTGGAGGGCGGAACCAAGAGCTCTCTTTCTGATTCGCTGCATATTTTCAATGCCATCAGTGGCACGCCCAGCGGAACCACCCTGCATGGCATGCCTAGCTCCGCCTCCTCCGTGTGACTTTCACCCCTGGCCTTAAACCTCTGACCCTGCGCACAGCCAGAGAGACAAACAAACAGACTGAAACGCATCAAAAGCGAAAGAACAAGAAAAGAATGGAATTTCATTGTCTGACACTCCTGAATGAATCGCCCATCAATCAGCATCCAGGACACTGGGATACAGCAGGTGTATCCGGTCTTTGGAATGTCCACATACTATTCCCATATGACTCGTGTAGCTTTTGTTCTTCTCTCATCTACTCCAGTCCTCCGTTCACAGGTGTTTCCTGTGGAGACTATCACTTTTATTTCTTACACAACCAGAACAGCTTGAAAAATCTGCCTTTTTACTTTCACATTCCTTAAATTTAATGCTTCATCTTTCCATATATTCCCCAATTCTGTATGTTTTTTGCTGCTCTGTGCTAAAAGAGAAGCTGCGACATCACTTCCTGTGTCTAAGGCAGCAGCCGTCCATTGAGTAGTAGTGAAGGGAATATAACTGTGCTTCAGTGTAGCAGGAAGTTTGAGCTTTACTGTACAAAATACCCATGATCACCTGAGCCACTCAAGCTTTTTAGCCCACACTTCCATCATTTTTTTCCTTTTATTCATTAAAAGCCAAGAAACAATTGCTGTTTCTTTGTAGCGGAGTGCAATAATTCTCTTTCTTTGTCCTGTTTTGGTTCCTGAAGATCTCTTGCCAAAGTGAAAAGGCTAGATGTGAAATATCTAAATATATATGGACAAAAGAGATAAACACAAGGATTTTTATAACCTTTTATGTTTGTTTAATTGTAAATTGTTTTATATCGAGGGTTAGATATGGGGGGTATTTTTATTTAAAAAAGAATCTGTTCTGGAAATATATTAATGTCCCTAAAATCTCTGAATAAAATGTATTATCTTACATCAGTTTTCATGTGGTTTTCATTCTTATCAGTTGCTTCCCTTAAACACACTTTATCTCTACTAATGGGAACTTTATTATTTACCAACCGAGATCCTTATAAAGGTCATTGAAACCTCATCTATACAATATTTATGATCTTTTTAATGTATGGTTTATGGCCTACCACACTGCATTCTTTTTACCCCAGATTATGAGGCCTTTAGCACGATTTATGCTCTCATATCTGAATCCTGCCAATTTTAAATCACCATATATGTTATATATGGTTTAGAAGAGATAGACAATATTGACAAAGTATCAGGTTCAGTTTTGTTTTTAAAGTGCGTTCTGAATAAAACCTGCTGACTTCCTCTCAATCAACACTCACACTCGCTCACGCCGTACTCCCCGTCCTCTTCACCACTGTCGCCATTGTATCGCAGCAACATCTCTGTGGATGAGGGCAGTTTGTTTACCTCTCTTCCAATGAATTACAGCTCTCCGAACTTCAGCTTTACAGCTCAAGTAAGCCATTTTAACATTGTATAACAGCTGACGATGTGCTTTGTGAAGGTGTCATTCACATCACTCCAACTTCACAGTCAGTAAATTTTTATAATGTAAATATTATATATATATATATATAGGGTTATTTAGAACAGTCATATGATGTGTTGGCGATGTTTTGAAGTTCCAACATTATCTAGCTAATCAACATTCTTTCAGCCAGAATGTTCAACTATGAGAGTTAATTATTATATTAAATCAGCCTCCATTTACCATTCAACATAATTCATATTATAAGGTTTTGTAAGATAAACACAGGATTTTATCTACCCAGTAATAATTCTAACACCAGAAAAGTGACTTGAAATAGTTTTCAAATACTTGCTAAGACAAGTTTATATAAGAATAAATGTATTTACATCTTTGATTTGTTAAAAAAAATGAATAGGAATACAACGTCATTCTGCACTTTTCTGTATTTTTTTTTTTTTAATGATATAATAATTAGTATATTAATTACTCATTAACTTGCCTGTCTTATTAGGAAGGCCAAACGTTCACACAATTTGATTTTCAGTATCAATTGATAAGACTGCCATAAATAACTAATCTGCACCCACTCATACACACACACACACAGTCACAAACACTGTCATAAACATCTATGTCAAACTCATTTTAACCCAGTGGTGGCCAAGGATACAATTTATTGTCCAGAATTTATAAAACCCTGTTACCTGTCTCTCTCAGATTACAGCTCTGTCTGTCCCGGGTCGTGTGTGTGTGTGTGTGTGTGTGTGTGTGTGTGTGTGTGTGTGTGTGAGTGAGTGTGAGTGTGCATCTCTGTACTAAAGGATATTCTTTACGAGAGGACTAGAAGACAGCCTCAGGCAAAGCAGTCATCATGGCAGGTGAGTAAACCTGGATGTTGATATGGAACAATATAATAATAATTATCCCTGTTAACTCTGGGTTTGTACATGGAGAGTAAATGTGCGTGTTCTTTGCTTATATAGGGCAATGCACAAATTGTCCATAAATGTTACAGTGTGAAAATGTTTGAAATAGCATTTGAATTCAATAAGTTGAAACTGAATCCATATTAGAGCTATTTTAATGACATTTCACTTCATTTTTGCAGACAAAGAGGAACAAAGGACAAAGAAGACCAAGAATAGTGTAAGACTTTTAATTCTGTGCTAGTTACTCACAGAATTACTATTTGTATTTTGTTAAATGTAATCATTTATTTTTAATTGTACAATAAATATGTTATGTCAGCACAATTAGTAAGCACTGTTTTTTATAGTATAAAAATACAAAATTTATTTTGTTATTAGGAAATATTTTAATTGAGCTGTGGTTTTTGTTGTAGCCAAGTTGCTTGGGATATCCTGTCAGTATATTTTTCATTGTGGTGAATGAGTTCTGTGAGCGATTCTCCTACTATGGCATGAAAGGTGAGACCAAACACATTTTGCTCTGTTTTACTTGTTCATCCACATAGATCAGTATTTCCCATTCTTTCCTTCTTAATAAGTGTCACTCATCTCTTGCTGTGCTCTCCTTTCCCGTCTCTGTGTTGCAGCGGTGCTGGTGCTGTACTTCAAGTATTTTATCGGTTGGGACAATGATTTGTCCACCAGTATCTACCACACCTTCGTGGCTCTGTGCTACCTATCACCCATCCTGGGGGCCATCATTGCAGACTCATGGCTGGGCAAGTTCAAGTGAGTTTTAGGGCTTGGAAAATATTCACAATAGCATACTATTAACTATACTAGGAATGCATGCGATATATATATATATATATATATATATATACAGTGGGTACGGAAAGTATTCAGACCCCCTTCAATTTTTCACTCTTTGTTATATTGCAGCCATTTGCTAAAACATGATCTTTACTTTATATCCTAATGATTTTTGGCATAAAAGAAAAATCTTGACCCATGCAATGTATTTTTGGCTATTGCTACAAATATACCTGTGCAATTTATGACTGCTTTTGTGCTCCAGGGTCACATATATATATGCAATATGTGATAAAGTCAGTGAATTTCAGCTACACTACATTACAGCTATACTACTGTTAAAAAAAGGAATCATAGTTTCCACAAATACTATGCGACACTACTACTGTGCTTTGATGATAATGTTTCTTGAGCACCAAATCAGCATATTAGAATAGACCATGTGACACTGAAGACTGGAGTAATGGTGGCTGAAATGACATTTAAAAATATATATTCAAATAGAAAACAGTTATTTTAAATTGTAATTATATTTTACAATATTACAGTATTATTTACTATATTTTTCATCAAATAAATGAGCATAAGCAACTTTGTTCCAAAACATAAAAAAAATCCTTCCAACTTGAAACTTTTGAATGGTAGTGTGATTATTTTAAAACCCATTTTGAGATAAATTAATAATTAATTAATAAGTGTGATATTAAAAATGCAGTAACTTACATTTATTTTAAAACAATCGGTAAAATAGTTTTAAGTAAAAAAATCCTTCCAACTTGAAACTTTTGAATGGTAGTGTGATTATTTTAAAACCCATTTTGAGATAAATGAATAATTAATTAATAAGTGTGATATTAAAAATGCAGTAACTTACATTTATTTTAAAACAATCGGTAAAATAGTTTTAAGAAAATATAAATTGAAGATTATTATTAATAACTCAATTTTATTTGCCTTTTGCTTTTCACAATAAATACTGATCAAAACCTTTTTTTTTATAACTTTTCCCCCTGAAAATTTACTTGGACCCCTAGCACCACCTTGTGGCCTCCTGGCGGTCACCGGACCCCATTTTATACACTTGTACTAAGTACACTGTCACACAGTCAAAAGGCTTAGTTCAACAACATTAGATTATGATTTTTTTTCTACTATAATACATACAGTATGTGTATTAACATGATTTCCATTCTCCACTTTTCGCAGGACTATCGTGTATCTGTCCATAGTATACACCATCGGCCAGGTGATCATGGCTATCAGTGCCGTCCATGATATCACAGATACCAATAGAGACGGTACACCAGACAACATGACCTTCCATACGTGAGTTACTGCTTGGGATATGCTTTGTTATTATATTATTGTAAACAACCCAAATAACCTGTTAAGTTAAAAGTAGCATGCTCTTTATTAGGTGCTACTTACAGCAATCATTTTAAATGTACTGACATTGTTATTATGTGATTTCTATTACATTATTTGGTGTGAATTTGAATTTCTTCTCTTTTATTTTAGCGCCATGTCCATGCTAGGACTCATACTCATTGCCTTGGGAACTGGAGGTATTAAACCCTGCGTGGTAGCGTTTGGAGGAGATCAGTTTGAAGAACATCAGGCATGTGGATCCTTACACACACACACTCACACACACACACACACACACACATTCACA